AAACACCGAGGGGGGGGCTTGTTTTACAACGTCGTGGCCAAGCGACGAAAACCCAACCCCGATGGCAAACACCAGGGGGGTGGCTGCTGTGGGCCATCTTAAAATTTGCATTAGAGCATGCACGGTCGGGTCAATTGATTTAAGCCCGCTGGCTGAAATGGCCCTACACATTGATTTGCCTGATTCGCAACTAGCCCGCTTTCAGCTTCCGAGATGATCGATTTGTTGGACGCCAATCCATTACGACTTCCTCACCCTGCGATGCACCCCCGTAGAGACATGACCGCTACAATCTTCGAAGCGGTCACAGACAACCAAGCTCTGCGTTTGAAGCAATCCTCGTCTCGCAACGCACGTTTAAAGTAGCTTGCTTCTGTTCTGTTTTACGTCCCTTTCTCACACCCCTGACACCACACCTCTCCGAAACACGCACAGGACCGCTCGTTCGCCAAGGCCGACTGGAGGATCACGCGAGATTTTTTCTTCAAGCGGGATCAGGTAGGTGCACCCACGTTGAGGCGGCCGTGCTCACCGGAGGCGGGGATCAGAGTCTGGGTGACATGCGTTTAGGGGCTTTGCCCGGCCTAAGCGCTTTCTTGGTGGTCTACCCACAAACGTGTGTAGATGCGCAAACAATGCAACTTTTTTATTTTGCAACGCATCAAACTGGAGGTTTCAGATCCCCGGAATTTAGCCGATGCGTGTAGACAAGGCTGCGCACAATGTCTATGTACAGCGTAGGCATCGCTGTGAATCACATGCTCTGAACACGGCACGTAAAAAATTCTCAAGTTTTGAGCACCGCTTGTTGCGCGCTGCTACGGTCATTCGACAGCCAGCTCCGAAGCAAATGTCGGGCAAGATACGTGCACCTGTCCTCCCATGGTCCTAGGCTTGGCAGAGCCGATGCCACTCTCGTTCTTGAGCCACTTTGCAAAGGCCGGTGTGGTTTTGTGGCACCGCCATACACAACACAGCAGTGGGACACACACAGATTTTCCCTGCCCCGCACGCACAATCTGCGCTCCCTCCTGTGTCCGTGACGCAGGCTAAAAACGGGGCGGATTTCCTGACGGCGCGCGAGAACAAGCTGGCCAAATTCAAGAACTCGGGCGAGGTCGGGTACTGGAAGTTGGTTCGGCGCCCGATCCCGGGAGCGCCGAAGCGGCAAAGTCCGCTCGGTAACGAAGGGATCGACTACCTCGTTTTGGATATCCCGGAGCAAGGCCCCCGCCGGAATCTCATCGTGTCGTACGAGGTGTGTGTGCGACGATGTATTTTTTGCGCGGGTCTGGTCGCTGCTGCTGTGTGTCTCGTTGCGGCGGGGGGGGCTCCGACGAATGGGCTGTGGTTGTGTTTACTGAGAGTGTGATGGAAGGGACGCCCGCGGGTGGCTCATGGCTCGTGTGCCTTGTTCCGCATCGCGAATTTTCCCGTGTAGCGTGGACATGACAGGCAGGTGTGTGGTGTAGAGGGCGTATCGAACACGTTTCCCGATACCTGGACGTTGCGCCCCTTTTTTGTCGAAGGAGGCTGTGACTGGGGGGAGGGTCGGCGAGATGGGGGGAGGGGAGGCTGAAGGCCACTTATTGCCCCCAGACCAGTATCGTTGGCATCCGAACGTGGTTGCATCATACCGTCCAGTAGCGGGGGGCGTGCATCTACGCCACAATCACCGATCAGCACCCCCATCTCGTTCAGCGCGCAAGCGCTTCACTACTTCGGCTGCCAGCGACATGCAGCAAGAACCTCGCATCGCTAACCGCGCTCCTTTCGTTCTCGTTGTCCCGTGATTTACGCGCGTGCCTTTGTCTTTGCTTGGCCCTCCCACACAAAAGATCCCCATTTCCAACGGGCGATACCACCCAAGTTCGATCATGTTCGCTCAGAAGGGCACCATCTACGTGGCCAACGCGAAGGAGCAGCTCGTCGGGCCCGCGGCGGCCGCCCGCAAGAAGATCGGTAGCTTTAGCGTCGACCTCCCGACGCTTGAACCCATGGTGGATCGAACATTCACCTTGTAGATGATGATGACTCGAAGGAAATGTAGGTGGAGGGCAGGGGGGGGGGGGCGTACTCTTACGTTTTGCATGCCTTAGCGGTTAGACCATTGACCACGTGTCCTCGAGAGGACGGAGCATTGTTCCCACAGGACCGATCACCGATCACCAATCATTCCTTTCTACTTTGCCAAAGGTGGCTCAAAAATGTCTTCCCTAGTCTGTCTATCCTAACGATATCCCTTCCCGCCTTTTCAACCCACCTCCTATGCCCCAGTACAGCTACCGTCCTTTCCTCTCTATTCCATGCCTCAAACATCTCCCTGTACGTTCCATCTATTTTTCCCAGCTCAGTCACGTACACTTCCCTCTCCTTCTTGTACAACGGACATTCCGCNCTCCTTGTACCACGGACATGCCGCGACCCCTGTATACACATAATTTTAGACGCTGCGCTTCGGCTCCCAGTGTGGATGGAGCTAGAAAGTTGTTGCCGTGGCTTGCTTTATTGCGTCACTTCGTTCATCGGAAGCCAATTGATGGGCGTAAAGAACTTAGCCGTGATCCTGAGTTCCATTTCGCTCACTCTCGACAGGCAACGGGCCGCAGATATTTGTTTCTTGGGGTTGGTTGGGCGTCGGTCACATCATGGCTAAACCGCAACAGCCACTCGCGTGGACACCTACAACTGCTGAGCTGGTGATGACGATTTCTAACGACTCACAAAATCACGGTGACAGAAAATCTCCCTCCCCGGTTCTTGGCCCACCAGGGCATGCACCTATTATAGCACAGTCGATACGGCCTAGTGGCTCTTGCACTTGTGTGCACTCTCTACGGCATCACTACTACTATCGCCAAACAACTGACGCAAGGAACAACTCGAAACACCGCCAGTCGTGCCCGAAAAAACACCGAGAACGCCTAGGCTAACGCAGGCAAGGTAAGCTCCTCTAGGAAAGGGAGAGCATCTGACAAGCCCGCCGGAGCTCGCTCCGAAAATTCGTTCCCCGCGAGCTTCAGGCTACGGAGCTGCGTCAGCGTTGGCACCACCACTCCCGGGAACTTCGACAGCTCGTTGTTTTCTAGGTCCAGCACGCGCAGGCCGACGAGGTTGCCAATAGGAGTGGTGGCGGAAAGCGGCGACTGAAGCCGGTTCCCCGCCGCGCGCAGCAGCCGGAGAGTGCCCGATAGCCTCGACAGCGACTGCGGGAGCGAGGCGAGCGCGTTGCCCGAAACGTCCAGGGATCTCAGGACGGACAAGTTTCCGATGGCGGCCGGCACCGACAGAAGACCGTTGAACGCCAACGAGAGACTCGTCAGGCTAGTCATCAGGAATATGCTTCGGGGAACCTCTATCGTCGCCATCGCCCCCGCCGCCGCCACGGGCGCTGATGAGCCGGGGGGAGCGCGCAGCGCGGCCTGGAGAGAGAACGATTTGATTTCTCGTCGAGAGGTAGGGTGGCTGATGGCCGTCGCTATGCGGCCGGCCGTTCGCGCCTGCAGGCCGCTCGGGGTTTGCCCGCCCAATTTCCCCCCGCACCTCAACCTCAACATGACTCTGCTACCCGCCGCGGCCGCTGCCGTAGCGCCGGCGCGCTCCGTCGACCCGCTCCCAAACCCCGCTTCAAGGGCAACCCGCTGTTCCCACAGCTCTGCGCAGTACGGGTGGGCTCGCAGCGCCGCCTCCAGAACTCGCTGCGCAAGGTCCGGAGACCCCGTTGCCGCCCACAGTGCCGCTACGGCGCCGCACAGGGCCGTATCCGCCGGGTTCATGGCCAGCGCCATTTCGACGTACGGGCGGGCGTTTGCCTTCAACGCAGACGCGCCGTCCACCGAGCTCGCGGCGGTCGCTGCTCCGCTCTCGTCATGGTCGGCCCAACTTACCCACCGGAGCAGCGCCAGCGCCGCGCACGACGCGTGCGCCGCCGCCGCCGCCGCCGCCGACACGCCCCCCAGGGCCTCCGCGGCCACCACCCAGTCGACGCCCCCCCTCTTCGCCTCCCGGAAGTGGTTCGCGTACACAGTCAAGACGTCGCACGCGAAGGACGACGACGACGCCGACGAGTCCGTCGCGAGGGACGCAAAAGGAGGGTCTCTAGAAATAGATTTTCCTGGCTGGCCGCCGGAGTCCCTGACGGGGCTTTCGGTCGCCGGCGGGCGGTCGAGAGTCGCCGCCACGAAGTGCGCAAGCGACGGATACTCCGCCCTGTTTTGTTTGTTTTGAAGCGCAACGTTTATGGGGGACCGGGGTCGCCGTTTGGGCACAAAAAAGAAAGGTGGCATAAGTTGGGGTGCGGTTGGATGGCAGCGTGCCCCTCAAGAGCGAGTAATCAACAGCAAATTCCGTCAGGTTTAGCCCCAATTGAACTGGCAGCTCATACTTCCAATCCTGTCGATGGCGGGCAGACAGCCAAGCAACAAATAAACACGGATCAATTCACGGCAACACACACCTTCGTTCCGTGCGGTGATCCGCCAAAGCACGCAGAGCCACTTCCCGCACTCCTTGCATGGCATCTACCCCAGACGCCTTGCGACAGCAGTACGAGGTGGATCGTGTGTACAGGCGAACACGGGCGGGGGAGCAAGGACGAACCACCAATTGAGGTGTCAGTTCGCAGTTTGGAGGAGAGGGTTGGTCGCATGAAGGGTTGCTCAGGCTCCGGTAGATACCATTCACGGTGTTTTCTAAGAAACAGAACAAAAACTGCACGCGAATAAATGTCCCTACAGCTACGTGCACCTGCTGCTTCCGCCGCTGCTGCGTCGAAAGAATTATCGCAGCCTCTAGCCTCTGCAGCCACGCAAGCCGTTTCCGCTCCGCCGATACGCCCGAAAACGATTCAGCGCTGAGAATATGGTCCAGAGACCCAATCGCAGCAGAAGCGCCCCCCAAAACCCATAGGGAAAAGACGATCGTTGACAGTTGACGTTCCCCATTTCCCCCGGGAGCATCACAGCCACCACTTCCGCCGTCCGCCCAGCGAAACAGAGAAGCCTTGGCGCCCTCGAGGGCTTGCCGCACCGACTCCCCGCCCTCTTCTTCGAGCCAACGGTAGGATTCCGAGCGGGCAGCGCCACCGCCGCCGGCGCTCGACGCCGCCGCCGCCGACGACGACACCCCCGTCCACATGCCCACCAGAGCGTCGCGCAGCACGCGCCGCGCGTCCTCGAGCGCACCTCGATCGGCGTCGTTCGCCGACTCCGACTCCGACCGCGCGGCCTCCAGCCGCGACTCGACGAACCGCAGGAACGCGTACACCGCCTGGATCCGTTCTCCCGACGGCGGGGGCACCAAGTTCACCGACTGTTCGTCCCTGCGTCTGGCGCCGGCGGGGTTGAGGCTAGCGCTCTTGCCCTCACCATCCCGCCTCTCGCGCAAGGCTCCCGCGGCGACCCCGTCGGCGTCGAACGCGCGGGAGATCTCGTGGTAAGTATCGCCCAGGGTCCTCGTCTTGGAGACGGCGTGCTCGAGCAGGAAGTGCTCCAGCAGCGCCGGCTGGTCGGGCCGGGAGAGCTGGAACCTCCGGCAGCACGCGAATGCCATCATGCGCCCCTGCCTCGCGTCCACCCGGCCCCGCCGCAGGCAGAACGCGAGCCAGTTCAGCGCAAGCACGAGCGGGGGTCCCTCCAGGGCAGAGGCGTCCGGCGCCATGCCTCCGGCCCGCGCGGCTTTTGCCTCGGCCGCGCTGGACAGAAGGGCGTCGCGGTCCTTGATAGCGGGAGCCCAGCAACCCTGGCTCCTTGGCGGGGGGAGCAGCCCCACGTCGGACAGGGCGGTCATGAACGTCTTAAGGGTCGCGTCTTGTAGGTCTGGGCTGGCCGACAGCCGGAGGATCGCGCTGCTCTTGGGGGACAGCCACTCCGTGGGCCACAGGAGCAAGGCCGCAAGGTCACCGCCTGCGGCGGTGGTGTCGTTGCTGCCGCCGAGGCCGCCGCCGTCATTCTCGGCAAGCGTGAGCGCGTGGCGGGGGAACACGCCCATGACGAGAAGGTGCAGCGCGGTCAACCACAGCACGCACCGCGAGTCGCGCGGCGCGTGTTTCAGCGCCGCCGCCACACCCTGTTCCGGCAGGAGACACGAAAATGACAAGGATACCGCCCGGTTGAGCGTGTGCGTGTGAGAGCGGAACATCAATCAGGGCGGCCGGAGAAGGGGGGGGTTGGGGCGCAAGCCAGATCAATGGAGGGGTCGAACTCGGAACCACATGGAAGCTATGGGAACCCCGCACCGCAAAAGACGCAGACGGGAGCTTGGGTCCCTCGTCAAAACGCGAAAGAAAAACATTTTCAAATGGAAACACAGGAACACGTCGTGGTGCCACGACGAACACGAAGGACACACAACCACATGAAAAACAGCAATAAAAAACACAAATTAGCCGACGGGGCGCGGCCGTTGCTCACCGCCGGTAAACGCTGACCATTGTCGTCGCTTGCTTCGGTGGAACCTCCCGCATTTGCTCCTCCTCCTTCTCTTGTAGCTCCGTTCCCCTCCCCTTCTCTTTCGTGGCCCCCGCCTTCAAAAGTCCTCAGGAGTGTCCTCCTCCCCTGCCCGTCCCTGGCGTCCCACCCCCACAGGGGCTGGCCCTCCGCGAGAGCCCCGAGGCTATCGAGGACCTCAGCGGCAGCCTGGAGCTTGTACCCGGCCTCCGCCAACAGGGAGCAGCGTTCGAGGACTAGGTACACAATCATCTTCACCTCCGCCTCTGCGCCGCCGCCGCAGCCGCCGCCGCCGCCGGTGCACACGGTGCCACCGTCGCCGCCCTTCTTTTCGCCCAGCGATTCGGAACTCGTTGCCCTATCACCGGGGCCGCCGCCGCCGCTGCTGCTCCCGTCTTGTGGTGAAGCCCGCATATCTGCGGCCCGCGGCTGAAGGAGCAGGAGCGCCTCGATCTGCCTACGGTAACACGAGACATCTTCTGGCAGGCTCCACCCCGGAGAGGTCTGCAACATGGAGTGGTAGAGCCTCCAGATTCGTCGCGACGTGGGGAACTTCCTGTGCAGCAGTGCGGCAAGGTTTGGGCGCCAGCCGTGAGGGGGGGAAGCGTTGGTATTTTGCACGAATCTCCCGTGCGGCCGGCACAATGTAAGCCC